GGTAACGGCAGCGTGAGGCGGTAACGGCACCCTGAGGCGCCAAGGACACCCTGAGGCGCCGGCAGCCCGGCAGCGTGGCCCAGGGCCTTGGCCTCCGCCGCCTGGGTGGTGTCTTCATGAGCCTGCCTCCTCTCGGGCAGCGAGCAGCAGCCGCCTTCGTCTGCCCTCTTGGGCACCGAGACCCACCTCTCCTTCCCCACCTTCACAGCACAAAGTACTGCTAGAAAAGAGAGTTAGCTAGAAAAGAGTGCCAGCAATGGGAAAGGGGAGCTGAGCTGTTCCCAAAGGGGAGCTGCAATGCCCCTAACTGCTCACACATGCCCCATCAGGGCCACAGGGGCAAGTGAGTCCCAGAAACACCTCAATGAGCTCCATCCTCTCTTTCCTCTCCACCGTTATGTCCACAGGGAGAAGATCATTTCACGTACTGTCCAGCAACAGGCCTGGCTGTGGGGAACGAGCGCTCGGCGTTTGCTGGCTGGGCGTTCCCGTTCCCAGGGGTGTTTCTGACGGAAGAGTTCATTGGGGAAGATGAGGAGTCGGAGATAGTTGGACTCATGGATCAGGATGACTGGAAACCGTCACAGTCTGGCCGAAAAAAGCAGGTTTGATTTTAGAAACATGTTTGTTCTCTGGAAAAGGAAGGCTGTCTTCACAGTTAAAACCCCAAACACATGTTTTATTAAATGCTTTCTTTTGGAAACCTTTCCTGAAATCAATTGCAAGAAATGTAATTAAAATTATCTTCTTGCAAAAGTGTCTTTATCATCATTACAGTGAATAGCACCTGCTCGTACATGTGCAGGTATTAAAAATCATACAAGATCAGCAGGAGATAAGTATTATTCTTTCTTTACTGATGATAAATCTAACCCAAAGTGATTAATGCGACTCGATTGAGTCATTTTGCAAAGTGTTGACCACATCATTGGAAGAGATGAGCAGCACACCTTAAAAGCCGTGATCATCGTCACTGTAGAGGTCACAGCCTCTCCAGAAAGACTTGTCCCAGATTTTCCTTGACTCTGGCTTCTCCTCTTTTCTTTTCTGGCAGGACTATGGACCCAAAGTGAACTTTAAGAAGCAGAGACTGAAAGCTGGCGGCTTCCTCGGTTTGCCAAGTTTTAGTAAAAAGATCGTGGCACAGATGAAGGCCTACTCTGTGCTAGATGGTTTCTTGCCTGTTGAGCAATGCAATCTGGACTACCTGCCAGAAAGAGGTTCTGCCATCGACCCACATTTTGATGACTGGTGGCTCTGGGGAGAGCGGCTGGTTAGCTTAAACTTGCTCTCAAAAACGGTCCTGTCCATGTCTTGCGATTCAGAGGACAGCATCCAATTATTTCCCATTTTCACTAAAGAAAAAGGGGAATTAAGTCCCTTTGGATGTCTTGCACAGACGTCAGCGTGCGAAAATTCAAGCAAACCGAGAATTAACTGCACTTCATCCCCAAGGCTTGTTCCCAGTAAAGAAGTGACTGTTGCCATTCACCTACCCAGGAGGTCCCTGGTGGTGCTTTACGGTGACGCGCGGTACCGGTGGAAACACGGGATCTACCGCAAGCACATAGAGCAGCGCCGAATCTGTGTCACGTTCCGGGAGCTCTCCGCGGAGTTCAGCACCGGGGGAAAGCACGAGGAACTGGGGAGAGAACTGCTGGGAATAGCTCTTTCCTTTCAAGGAAGACCAGTATGATCTTCCAGAGGAAGATGGAACTGCATTTTGTTGGGATATTTGAGAAATAAAGGATAAAATTTTTACAACGTGATTTATTGCTGAAGTATGTGTAGGATTCGGGTTATAACAAACGTAAGAGCAATCAAATAGAAATGTAATAAATAGGAGGGTAAAGGGAAAGATTTGTTTCATTGAAGGCTCTCCTGGACAGTGGTGGTTCTTAGGCAAAGTTAAAAATTAGCCGTGGTGTTCATTAGCTCTATTGTGACCAAATGCAAAAAGCAAATAGTCATTTTAAAATACTAAAGTGAAATCAAGAAACTTGGCCTTATTGAACTGATCTGAGTCGAACTTCGTTTGGCATTGATTCAGCCCACATCTTGGAACAGATTTTAACCTTTTTTGACCCATACCCAGTCCTGTCACGCTGCGCTTAGAGCTGCCCTGTGCCGCAGGGCCACCGCTGTCTTCTCACCCACGTCAGATGGATCCCTTGGAGATCAGTCCTCCAGGGGAGAAGGGTAAGCAAGCATCTCTCCACAGATGACACAACACACAGAACTAATTAAAGTAATTATCCTTTGCTGAAGATTCCTGCTGTAGCAGGGAGGATTAATCTTAAATGTAGCGTGTGACCTACATCTTCCGGGACCAAAAAGCGGCACTTGCAGAGGGCCAGGGCAGACACATTTGCAGACAGCTCAGACAGGTCATTTGTCATCTCCGAGCCCTGCTGCCAGCTCCGTAGGGAGAGGCTGATTTCAGGAAGCTGGGAGACAGGCTGTAGCTTGGGGGGATCGCGTTCCCCTCGGCTCCTCCAGCCACCACGTCGGAGTCGGAGCTCGTACCTGAGGTGCTGACTGCAGCTGAAGCTGCTCAGAACAAATGTCTCTGCTCTTGGCAGATGAGGCTGTGCCACGGAGATGTGGATAAACAGTCAGCACAGTCGCACCTACAGTCGTATAACACTTTACAGCACTGCCTGGCTCTGGTTGGTAAGAAAAAGGCGCACATTTATTACACGGGAGGTCAGGGTCCCCGCTGTCCCCTCCTGTATTTTAAAAGGAGAGTGACATCTGACAAAGCTACAAAGAAGAAATAAAGCAAAAATATGAGTTAACCAATAGAGGCTGCTGGAGGACTTGAACTGCCTTTCAAAAAATCTCTCTGAAAATAGCCAGAAATGTAAAACTTGGCAGGTTTATCCAGTTTCATTCACACAGCTAGACAACAACCAAGATACAGGTATTATTCGACATAAAATATTGTTTGTGCACAGATGAAACAAGAATAGGCCAAGTTTAAAACACAGAGGCATTTTTTTTTCATCCTAGCACTTAACTGAGTCAACATTGCCTTCATCACCCATCGGTAACATCCCTGGGATGAAGGCAAGCGCAGAACTGTACGTGCAGGTCAATCTGCAGGGGAGTGCTTCACAAACTCCATCAGTAAATAATTCCTGAAACCACTTTCCTGTTTAGAAAAAACAGGGGGAGGAGAGAGCCTGGGAGAAGATAACCAGAAGGGAAACACGCCGGGCAGCTGTGCTGGATCCGCATTTGAGGTGAAGGGAGTTTACAGAGGAGGCATCTTGAGGCAGAGGTAACAAGCATGAGCAGATAAAGCTGGAGAGGCAGGGAAGGTAAAGCGGGACAAGCAGGGAAGGTAAAGCCGGAGAGGCAGGGAAGCTTGAGGGGTGTCTGCTTTTTAAGGAAGGGAAAAACAGAAAGCAGTACATGAAATCCCCAAAGGAAACGCAGGTGTGAGCACCGCGGTGCTGCCTCACCCCACACACAGCGGCGCTGCAAACAGCAACCACTGCCTGGCTCCCCGAGGTGAGAAATGGAAGGGTTTTAGTTCTGCATCCACCAGCTTTCCATGAAGGCCTCCATGTACTTGAGTGTTTACGGCACGGTGCGCTCCACCCAGGGCTTGTACACAACGTGTCACGGGGCTCGCGCCCAGCTCGGCCCATCTCCCATCTATCTCATGTCTCACATCTATCTCCCGTCTCGCATCTATTTCATCGCCTCCTCTGCGATAAGATCTCCCGTCAGAGCCATATATCCACCCGCTCAACAGGGGCGGGTGGGGAGAGCTGCGCCTGCCCCGGAGCCACGTTAAAAATAGGAAGCTGGCAGCTAAGAGCGGCCAAAGGGAGAACTCGATAGCGCTGCGCGTGGCGCCAGCCCCGCGGCCAGGCTGCCCCTTGGCTCCTGCTGCCCAGGGCAGAGCAGTCACCTCCTGCGGCAGGAGGAGCCCGCGACACCCGTGGCTGGGCACGGACGGGACACGAGTGGTGGCGCACACAGGATGGCATCTCCGTGCTTGGCATCCTGCTCACAGCAAAAGCGAGGAGGATTTTCTGGCACCATGGCACAGAAATTGCTGCCTGGGCAGGTAGAGCATCCCTGCGCCTTTATGGGTTAATTCCCGTTTTTGCTGCTCGCTGTTAGCACAGACAGGAGAGCAAGAACAAGGGAAAGGAGGAGAGGCAAGAAAAGGCAGCACTGCTTTTGCGGAAGAGGAAGGAGTGAAAGGAATTACAGCGAGGAGGTGATGAGTAGCCTGGAAACATCCCTGATGCCAGAGCCAAAAGAAAAATCCTCTTTTGGAGGGGCTTTCGAAGGGAAGGAGACCCCTGCACCCAGAGCAGCTACAGAAACAGCTGTGAACAAAAGCAGGGGCAAGGGGCCATGGTGCTGTTTGCAGCGCACCCACACCCGGGAAACTACGCCAGGATTCCCGTGGGATTAAGGCGATCCCTCTCCAGGCACAGACCTGCTGCCTTGAGACCGCCTCGAATTTGATCCCAGCAGAGCCCTACCACGTTACCCTGGACAAATCAGAGCACAGCTGCTGCTGCGCGTCTGCGTTTGCTGAAGTTTATTATATCTGCAGTGAATTAAGGGAACAATTTGGCTGTTCTGAGGTGAGCTGTGTTGTTTTCACAGCACTGTGAAACTTGTTTTGGTTTTGAATTACAAGAGGAGCTCAAGACTTCCTCTACAACCGATTTCAACCCTGGGTTCCGCATCAAACACAGGCACTCCTGTTATCACTGCTCATGTGATGGAGGGCACCTACAGACTATAGATTCATCCTATTTACTCTGGCTCTGGTCTCACAACAGCATTGTGCCAGGAAAGGAACCTAAGTACGTAATACTTGGCAGAAAACTCAACTCTGATTTTATTATATAAACCTTTTATTGTGGTAAAAAAGACAGGAGGGAGAAAGGGCAGATTCCTGGGGACACCAGTTGAACTTTACAACTCCCCCAACTTCCTGGAGGACACTCATTTTTTTGCATATGAGCACAAGCAGTACAGACTAAGCATTTAGCACACAAAAACCTTCTTTTCTTTGCTGCGGACTGGCCAATATGGTACATACCAAGTGAGGGAAGAACAACAGATGAGGGCCACAGACACAGCGCTAAGCAATTTGTTCGGCAAGGATCGAAGTCCCATGTAAACAAGCGAGATTAGAGTTGGGTTCCCAAGGCCCTCCTCATAGAGAAATATGGGGAGTTGCTCCCGTTGCACTGGGATTTACATGTTCCCTCCACTCTGGGAAGCTGACATGTAATATAGTGACATTAGATTTCTTACGTCTCAGTAGACCAAAGGACCAGGGTTAAACAGAACATTATAAACATCCTCAATGAATATAGAAACCTGTAAGGCATGAGAGAATGTAAACCTGCGATGGTCGAGTGCAGAACAGGGCCAGGAAAATGTACTTAGGCTTCTTTCATTGCAATGTGTCAGAAAAAAGCCCTATCTTTCCTTAAAATAGCTGTTGGCTGCAAAATACTTTTCCCTCCATAAAGTTACAACAAATCATAAGATCACTTTTTAAAGAGGTTTTCGGTGAAAAGGGCGCTGACAGAATTTACAAAGTCTCCTTGCGAAGCAATACGGCCATGCAAGGGTCATTCCCGGCTGCTGAAACAAAGCCAGCTCAAAGGTAACACGATAGCTCTTTGATGGCATACAGCATTCCCACAGGGATCCAGCTCCAGCACGCTCATCATTCCAACTAAAAGTTTCCGAGTTGTTTGCTTTGGTGAGGAAGAAGGAAATGTTCGTTTTTCTGCAGGCTAATGCTACAACTGACAATCAAACTGATGAAATACCCAGAGCTGGGGCTTGTCCTCTCCAGCAAACCAGACTAGCAAGAGACGTGGCGACAGTACATGGATGAGGAAGACACAGAAACAGATTTCCACACTACGCTCTACTCTTTTACTCCTTACCTCCTTGAAACTTGCTTTTCTAGTCCTTCAAAGTTTGATGTCTCATTAAATTCCTTGCCACTGTTCTGGTTTAAGAATGTCCTTGTTAAAATTAAAACACCTGCAAGCCTTCCCTGGGCTCCTGCCTTCTATTGGAAAGATCACAGGATCTTGGCATTCATTCAATCTATGGTGACAGATGCTGTTGAGGCAAGCAAGACAGAACTTCCCAGCCTCCCGTATCTGAAACTCTACCTCCCCAGCTGTAAAAAAAAAATATAGCAAGAAATAGCAATAAAATAAAAGCTAAGGCTGATTTCTCTCTGGTTTCCTATTTCTGGAACACCTGTTATGGAACAAAGGTGGTGAACACTCACAGTTTCTATTGTGCTTTCTTGGATGTCCTCAAGTTGACTGCAGATACCATCCCTAACCAGCTCAGCTCTAGAAACAAGCAGCCAGTTCAGTGCTGCTGCACTAACAGCCAGGGAGGTCTCACACCTAAGACAGGTCCTACACACACCCAGCTGCAGTTCTACACTTGACAAGAGAATGCTGCATTTGTAAAAAATGCAGTTATTTGGCTAGCTGGACCAATGTGAAGGTAGATCAAGTTTTGGCCTTTAACTCCATGGCAGTGTCTATTTAAACACACAAGTGTGTAGGACCAGAAACAGGCCAGAGACCACAGCATTTGAAACGGCACTAGAACCCACAGCTACATATGGCAATTAGCATTTAGATAGTTAAGCCTCAAAACAGTCCATCATTGGTATGTCTCGCCAACCAGCAAGACAGGTATTTTGCTCTCAGCCTCAGCTAGGTGGATGCAGCTCCCTGCCTCTCCGTCACACTACCTGCATGCTCCGGTCATGCCCGTCTAACTGCACTTTGAGTTTGTGGAGCTCTTCGATCTCCCGGTTGTGGCGCTCCGTTTTGTGCCGCACCAGAGACCGGTAGAAGTGAATGGTGAAGACGACAAAAATCAGCCCCACGGGGACCATGATGATGGTGGAGACCAGGGCTGCCTGCCAACCCGCGTGGCCGCTGGGCTTCTGGATGGTCGTGGTGTCGTTCTTCATGATGGAGTCCACGGGCAGAAATTTGATCCAGCACAACAGCACGACCTCCGCGAGGAAAAGGAGGATTCCCAGGACGGTGGAGAAGCCCCACGCCAGCTCTATGTAGGGGTGCATGCGCTCGTGGGGGGACTCGCTGATGGAGTTCAGGTTGTGGATGTTGCTCACCGCTTCCACATTGGGCAGGATGCAGGTGCTGATGAGCAGGGCAAAGAGGTGAACTGCCACCAGCACCGTCGTGCAGGCACTGAACGCGATCAGCAGCATCTGGGGGTACTTGTACTGCATTTCCAGCTGCACCTCCACCATGGCAACCTGGGGGAAAAGCAACACAGGGAAAACAACTGTCAACAGCTGCTAGTTTTGCTGGTTTTCTCCTTGCAAGGCGTGCATCCAGGAAAGCATCTTTCCTCAGGGAAAGCACCTAAGGTTAAGTACACACTTAAATGCCTTCAGAGTGGCAGCCCATATAGATCGTTCTCGTTTCCTGTGAAGATTTTCACACAGTCTCCAGCCTGGCCTTTCTCAAGGGTGATGAGCACATTTCTGCACTGCAATTTTCTGCAACAACAGCCCTCTCCTTGCAACCACGAGCCCTACGAACTGCATCGAACCAAACGTACAACAGAAGGAACCCACAGTGCAGCGTGGAGGCAGCTGACAGCCTGCGGGCCCTCCCACCCATCCCACCTTCCTCTTCCTCTCACCACGAGCGACTGCAGCTCAGGAAGTCTCAACTTGAGCATAAAGAAACTCCGCTTGAGCAGAAAGAAAAGCAAAAGCAGCAGCGCTTCTGGCCAGCTCCCAGAAAGGTTACACCACCTCCCCTGGGAGTCATGCAAGAGTCTTAATAGCTAAAGCTATTCCATGGTTAAGATAGTTGCCTTCTATTCCTGGAACATCTTAAGTTCTTTTTATTACAAATATATCCAGAAGCAAGTTATTTATATCCCCATTTTTTCCCTTGAGATCTAATACCTTACTGATATACTCAACAGAAGTAGACAGTTACTAGTTTATGAGTGCGTTCAACAACTCCACTAAATAGCTTTTGTTTCCAGAAAATACACTTGTATCAAGTAAGTCACTTAAGTTATTATTAAGTTAATCCACAGTGGGGATTTTTTTTAATCAGGTAAACTTAATACACAGAATAAGAGAGCAAGAAGACCTTGTAGGGGTTTGTAATGGACTGAGCATAAGAATCTGGAAAATCATTTAACCTATGTGTTAAGTAAAATAGCCAACATAAGGGCTTTGTGGGCTGGGTTGTGAGATGTCCCCCCTGAAAGAACCCCAAAACCCTCTACTAAGAGAAGCTGCAAACACAGTTGACAAGAACCTCAGAGATTCCCCTCTACCAACTCTCTAGTGCTTTGCCTGGATGTGCAGCTGCCTTTAGCCATTTGCACAGACAGTAAAACAAAGCCTGTCAATAAGGAAAACCTCTGGCAATCCCAGGCGACTCGCTGTTCCAACGCAGCAAAGCCTGCTGTAGAAAAGGAGAAGCTGCTCTTTGCACCCCTGCCTCAGGGCAGCTCCTCTCAAGACCATCCTGGGAAAGTAAAGCCACATCAGAGAGCTTGATTCGGGAGGCAGAGATGGATTTTGGAGAATAGAAACATCATTTCTTTATCCAGTCTTCACAGAAGACCAGCGCTGCATAACCATTTCAGCCCCTGAAAAATCACTTGCACTGTTCAGTCTGGCATTGTTTGGGGATGTTATTTAGGCAGTGAACAATGCAGATGCACTCGTGCTCTGCTGGTGCCTCTGAAGATGTTGAGGAGAGCATGGAAGCAGTGCCTGTGCTGGCACAACTACGTTTATCCACACTGACTTTGCAATCACCACCAGCCCAAATGGGGGTATCACGGTCAGGCTCAGACACATCTCCTGGCAACCAGCTCTTACAATTTGGGTCGCAAACAGTCCCTGCATGCCTGGGACACCTACATCAGCTCTTTAGGATATTAGAGACATCAAAAGAACAAGTGGACAGTGCTTTGCAGCTCCCCAGGGGTTGATTCAAGGAGAGGAGACTCTCTGCTGCCCTGTTCTGTGCAATCTGTTTGCACAGAGCAGTGACTGTCACCCACACCATATCAAACGGTGAAAACTACACCTGTACTGTGCAGTACTGGGTGCTGTAACACACACAGACCCGGCACTCAGCAAACTGCACATACAATTTATAGCTTTATATTAAAGCTCAAAGCCTGGCTGATGTCAACATACCAATTTCTGCTTGTTATCCTATGTGTGAGCAGCAGTTTTCAGTTAATTGGATGTTTCCTCCCAAACTAAGCTGTTCCCTAGGGATAACTTCAGCTGTGCAATGATGAATTTTTAACACTGACTGATGGCTCAGGAAGATGCATTTCGGGGAAAAACATCAACAATGCAGGTAGGGCAGCAAGGCAGAAAAACAGTTCATTTAACCAAAGCGGGTACTGGAAAGGTGAGCGAGCTCTTCCCGCTTTACCCCGTGACACATCACATCATTCCCTGAGCGGGATAAAAGAAAGAGGGCAAGCTGACATAACCCACTTAAAAATCATTAAATATGATGCTTAGCCTGTAAAACTATTATTAATGTCATGTTTGATACCATTATATCCTTCTGTGATAAGAGCCCTGTTTATTTTAACCTCTTCCCAGCAGCCAAGATATCAAGGGCTTGACTTGCAAGGCACTAAAGCACTCTGCCCAGCAGCTGAGTATTTCTGCACAGCTTTAAGTTGGAGAATTGCACTGTTAAATTCAACACTCATGGGTTTGCTAATGGACCGTGTGTTGAGAACAATTTAGAATTAAACTGAAATTAAATTACATGCATTTTTTTCAGATCAGTACAATCCCCAGATTGTCCACAACCAAGATGATGCTCATCTTCAGAAATCTAGACCAGGATTGATAATATCAGGCAAAAGGATGACAAATGGCTGAAGATAAAATATTACATGCACACAGATGGTTTGGCAGCCTGTAATAATATCAGTCCAGTAGATTCGTGGGATTTTTTCTTTTTAAATATCAAACATACCTATCCATAAATGTTGAGAGGGTTGGCAAGCATTCGTAGCTCTTATCCTTACCAGAAAAAATGATTAAGGTTTATGAAACTCTCTCCAAAATAAATTTAATATTTCTGAAAAATACTAAACTAAGAATGTTAGCAACTTATCTCCTTCACCAACCCAGTCTTCCTAGGGCAAATCCGACATTCATAGCAAATTACCCACCTCCAAACAGACCTAGAATGCAGCCACAGCCTTCTGGTCTGCCCATCTCCTTGCCAGAAATACCAAAGATAGAATCAAGTAATGAGGAAGGTTTGAATTACTCTGCAGCCTGTCCAGAAGGAGCTGGATCAAAGCCACTGCCTGTTGATTAAATAGCCATCAGCTAGTAATAATGTTCAGCCAATATGGAGCTGGCTTGAATCAAACACATTGGCAGGGAGGTAAATAAAACCCTCGCCAAGCCCTGTGTGACATTTGTTGACATAGTTAAATGCACATAAGACTTCAGGGAAACTATTTAACTCTAAATAGCTGCTCTACTTTTATCAATAGCTAAATAGATGCTCTTATTAGAACAAGGCAAGTAACTGCTTACTAAATACCATTCTGTCAAAGCAGCAATGAAGGAAAAGCAAACAAACAAACAAGGGAAAAACACAGGATAACAATAACACAGGATAGCAAAGGATAAATAGATAATCCTTTACTGGAAAGCCTGACCCGATCACCTGGGGAAAGCTTGTCAATAAGCAGAATGGCAGCACTGCAATGTTTTCATTTCTGAGGATTCCCAATTTCAAATGTACTTAATATGTTAAGTCGGTGATCTAACATCAACATCGGTTGCATCTATATGGTTATTTGATTTAATTTTTCAACAGTTTACAAGGAAACGGGCAGCAGTCTCTGGCACCAACCCTGTCAGCGCAGCGGTCAAGGAATCCTTCAACAACCCATCAAGTAACGTGAAGTAAAAGCAGACAGGCTACATGTGTCATAAAGAGAAGTTACAGGGCTCAGTTTGTACTTTTGCTGAGAAAATATTCAGCACTTGCTGTTCTGCGTGTTGAGGACAAATGCTTTGTTTCCAGATACGTGTTTGAGCCCTGCAAGCTCCAAGCTTCAGTGCTGTGTCAGGGATGCCAGTCGACACTGGCTCATCTGCTGCCTCGGTGCAGCAGAGCTCACAACACTATAGAATCCTCTCTATATTCGTTTATTAATCATGCTAAACGAGGACAACCACAGATAATTAGCACGGAACTCAAGTAACCTAGGGGCACATAGAGCCAAGGCGAGAATTGCTTTTTAGAATAAGAAAGCTTGCAAATCTGAAAAAAAAACCCCTTCTAGAGGTTACTCCACTTTTTTAAAATGAGAAGCTACCTTCTGCCTGTTTTAGCACATAGAACTTGGTCACAATCCGATATATGTCACATGAACTGTTTTTCAAGCACCTTATACCTGGCGTCAGTGAGGAAAGAGGAAGCACAAAGGAATCAAATAGCCTTTTTGCCTTGCAGACTGCCCCCAGACAAGCTTAAAACCCAAACCAGAATTCACCACCATAATATTACAGACAACTTACGTTCGGGAAAGTGGGGAGAGAACAAGGACAAAAGAACTGAAATAAAACAATGGAAGCTACCTGGAAAGTTTCCAAGACCTCCCTCTCCCACCCAGGGCTCCCAAACTTCAGGATATAACCCTATAACCTCTCTCACATCCTGCTCTCCTACCCAAGTGTGTGTGTGTGTGTGTGTGCACTCAGTAGCCACTCTCAGAAACCAACCACGGCTGCCAGTTTCCTGAGCAGAAAATCTCCCCCAAACTGATTTCAATTCTCGCTCTCCACATGCAAGAAGCAGTGGGGAGATCAGAAAGTTCATCCCGTCACAGCATGTCAGGGGTTTGCTAATGCCACAGCTAAGCCAGGCTCCAACACTTGCCTGCTGCTGGTCTGTGCTGTTTATTTGCTTGTTCCCCGACACGGTTCTGAGCTATGCAAATAGCTTCCAGATAACACCCAAGTGCTGCACCAAAGGAAAGCAACTACGAGGGATTATTTCCAATGGGCAGCACTGACCAAAACAGAGCAGGTTTGGCTCCCTTGCAGCTCCACAACCCTCTCAGCACCAGCCCTGGTGCCTGAGCACGCAGAGCCGCTCGCACAGTGCAGGTAATGCACCCCATTGCTCCACACGATCTCTCAGCTCTCACTGCACAAACCTCTCTCTGGCAAGACTGCGCCTCAGGCTCCGGCTTATTTCAAGGCACTGCCACCTGTAAACCCCCACACAGGGAGTAAAACAATATTCGGGACTGCAGCAAGCAAGGGGTGCAGGGGAGCTCCGTGAGCAAGTGCAGCCTCCCATGGAGGCAGCCAGGGACATGTGGCCTCAGGGCCAAAGGAGAGGCCGGGTCCTATTTGTTCAGCAATCCTGGTGCAGCACTCGGGACCACTGGCAGGTAAGGAACAGTGTTTCACAGGGCTGTTTCACAGGGCTGACTTGGGAATGCGTGGGCTGACTGTTAGGCAGCTCGTTACTCATCTTGCTTTGAGAGGGATGACCTCAAATTTTTCAACAGCAGCCAAACAGAAACCCACAGACAGATGCCTCCTACCTCTTCAGAAAATAACAGTGCATCCTCCTCCTTCACAGGAAGGAAACAACATTGGTTAACAGATGATTTTTACAGAGCCCAAACTTTCACAATTCAAAAAGTTCTTTTTTTTTTCTTGATTTTGTGTTTTATTTCTCTGAAATAAACCTACCATGGCAAATCCGGAGAGGAGAGCAGAGGTTCTGCTGGAAGCTTTGAGTTTGGCTCGGCTAAGGTAGAGTTTTCTCCATGAAAGGGCCTGAACGGAGTGGTGATTTGATGTGACCAGTTCCAGGTAGCTGCGCCGGACCCAGTCCCGATAATCCATGCCTTTTGTGCCAGGTTCTGAGCAACAAGCAGGAGTGGAAGGATCCACTGGAACATTTAATTCAGAACTCATGATGACAGGAGTGCTAAGGAAATAAAACAGGGTAACAAAAAGAGCAAGTATCAGCTACTGGCATACAAGAAACTGGAAAACTAGTTAGGATAGGACAGAAAAACAAACAGCTACATTTTAAAAAGTTACCCTCAGTCAGCAGATAACAGATGGACCAAATCATATCGATTTGAGACACACAAAACAGACAGGAGACCATCTGTGATTACTCGAAATGACTGTAAGAACTCATCCCAGAGTGCAGAAGGGCACAGCTCTACCCCACGACTGGAAACAGTCACACAGCTGAACACTGCACAGGGTTAACAAACACATTTGCTGAGCTGCTGCTGTGGAAAGTCACATTTCTTAAAACACTCACACCCACGCTCCACTTATCGGCCCCATCTGACCACTAATCATGTTCCATTGCTTCCATTAGCACCTCTTAGCACAGGGAAAGAAAAACAATTCCAAGGGAAGAAGCAATTGGCATTCCAGGGAGTTCCATTGTGCTCAGACTCAGGAGGCTACACTGAAGATGTGAGAAAGCAGCAAGATTCTATCAGGTGCTTAATGCCACAGCTATCAGCACAGACAAGTCCCAGCCCAAACCCAGCCCCTCCTCGTACCACAGCTTAGTCATGAGTTTGCCTGAAGGACTCCCTTTATCTCAGTGTTGCCCACAGACAGGGAACAGAATTCGGATTATATTTTGAGCAGGAATTTGTCAGCTCTGGTAGACATCCGAAATCGTCAGTGTGATTTCCCATTTGCTGAAAAATGGAAACGTCGATTTTCTCCATTAGCCCTCGTATCTGACCTCCCCAGCAACGTCAGAGTCAACAGGACTAGAAAGAGCAGCTCCTGGAAGGCAGAGCCGAAGCAGAGCAGCACACGGAGGGCACCAGGGCCTTGCTGCAACTTGGACACGAGCTCGAGCCCTGCCCTGCTCCAGCCAGTCCTGCACAGACCTAGGCCATACAGCGACAGGGACAATGACTAATGAAGCAACGTTGGCTGTGAGATTTGAGGAAGTGGCAAGGATAAAAGGCACCGGCTGCCCACAACTCTAAATGTTACTTTTAAAAAGGAACAAGGCTGTTCTAGGCACAGTAACCCAGATTAGACTGCAGCAAATAAAGCATCCCAGCCTGGAAGATTTTGGCCATTCTGAGCACTGTTCTTCCATGAACCTTCAGATTTTGGTCCCCTCAGACAGAAGGGCGAGGGCACAAGACAGCTCTTCTAGGCAGCTGTTGATAAAGTGAGATTGCAGGGTGTTTTAAACACTTGGGTGTTTTCTGGAAGCTACCTGCATATCAGGGAACAAGCGAATAAACAGCACAGACCAGCAGCAGGCAAGTGCTGGGAAACTGACTTAGTCGTGGCATTAGCAAAACCCTGACGTCCTGCGACAGGATGAACTGTGTGATCTTCTCGCTGCTTCTTGCATGTGGAGAGCAAGTGAAATCTGTTTCGGGGGGGTTCTCTGCGCAGGAAATGGCCGGACATGGCTCGGTTCTGAGGCTGGCTGCAGAGGGCAGGGCTGGGAGGCCCACTGTGGCTCCGGAGCCGCTGAGGAGCCGAGGGTTCGCAAATGAGTCAGAGGAAAAAAAAATAAAATAAAAAATCTGTTTGTAAGCGTAAAACACAAAAGGTTGTTTATAAAAACATGCCAAGGATCACAACAGTACCAAACAGAACACACTAACACGGAGAAACCTCTCTGCTCGCTCTGCATTTCCAGAAAAGGCAAGAACTGCCTATTTTTGAAGATTAAAGAAAGGTGTGTGTATATATATATATATATATATATATATATATTCCCAGGCCTGCAGCAGGAAACAGAGCAGAAGGACTCTGTGTTTCCTGTGACAACATCTGTGCGGATTCACCAGTGCCAGCTCTGGGGTGAACTTGCTAACTCTGTCCTTGATTAGGACACGCAGGGCTCTACCCTGCCATGGATTTTCATCAAATGTGCAGGAACTTAGTGTTTTTGAAACATCGACGCCTGGACAAATTCCACTGAAAAGGCAAACGGGTTCAGAAGCTCCAGAGGGAGAGTGAGCACACCCAATCACATGTGCTTGTTTCCCTTGGAAAATAACCCAGAAATACCACAAGGATGAACTTTCACCCTGAGCAGCTTGACGGATGTTCCCAAAGAAGCAAATAGAACTTCAGCAAAAAATCCATAAATGCAAATTTAGCCCCAACGAGCAATAGCGAGCGACAGACTCACCTTGGTGACTACAGGCATGGAGGGGAGGAGTGGAGGGCTCCAAGGGCTGAAACACAAGACCAAGGAGAGGTTTTATATGCACGGTTACCTTAAGCAGCTCTACTGCAGAAGCACTCCTAAGCAAAATGCCTGTGTCAGGGAGCATTATCCCAGGGATTTCACGCTCCTGACTTGCAGCTTTAGAGTCCAGGACACTGCCTCTGGTAGGAACAGGAGCTTTCCTGAAGAGCTTCACAGAACAGCATCAGCACAGGGCTGTTGAGATCCGGGCTTCTCCAGGGAAGCTCTGACAGCCCTGGCTGTTCATCCCCACCGCGTCTGCCCCGCTCCACGGCAGGGACGGCGCAGAGCGCTCCGCGGGCTGCCCCGCGGGATCCCAGCATGGATAAGGCTGGAAGCGGGGGCCCTGCAGCCTGCCCAGCGCCAGCTCCACGCGGACACACGTGCAGGGATTTCCTGGCAGTGGGAGCAGCGCTATCCTGCCCCCGGGTGCCTCCGCTCCGGGAGCGCTGCCCGAGCCAGGACTGCGGCCCCGGGGAGGCTCCGTCTGCTTCTGGGACAGACGTGGCCCCGCTTACCTGCAGGTCGGACCCCAAGGTGACGCCGCAGCCCCTTCCCCAAGGCAGGCTGCACATCCCCCGGGAAGGCTTCCTTCCCGCTCTCCTCCATTGCTCCGCATGATGCAGACCCCGTCTGCTCCCCGTTCCCACGGGACCCCCCGGCTGGATCCCGTCCTGCTTGCGCCCACCCAGGGGCGCGACGCGGACCCCGGCCCACCAGATCCCAGCGCGTCGCCAGCCGGGAGCCTCCTGGCGCTGCTCCGGGAGCGCCTGCGGCAGAGAGCGCTTCCCGGGGCGCCCCGCACCGCGGCGAGGGCCCCTCCGCAGGCAGGACGGGCCGCCACCCAGCCGAGACACCCCCTCCGAAACAGGGAGCCCCCCGCAGCACAGTACCCCCCCCCCCGCGGCATTCGCCCGGGCCGAGGGGATCCCTCGCTCCCCGCGGGGCCGGGCGGGCCCCT